TCTGTTGAAATTTTGTGCAGCTCTTTACATTTTAGTTAAAGCTTTCTCATTTATTTATTTATTTATTTATTTATTTATTTATTTATTTACCTATTGAGAAATTGGGAAATTCAATGGCAAGAGCAAGACCGTGGTGAAGAATGAGAATTAATCTTACAAAGGCCATTGTGAAAAGCACAATATCAAACTCAAAAGGGACTAAAGGCAATGAAAAGTGATAATGCAACTGGTTGTATTTTTTAAATTAATTGTATTATTAAATTAAAGCTGTAAAGAGATGTGTTTCTAGAGGCTTGTCATGTCCAAATGTGCTCTTCCCTCTTCATCATGTCTGTGTAAATTTGTTCTGTGGTTTGGACAAAATTTCTCCCTCAAGAAGAAATCTCAAAGCACTCCAGAAACTGTAGCCCATGTAAAACAGCAGGTGACAAAACAATTTTGAACGCAAATTCAAAATTTGTTTGTCTTATTTGTTTGGAGTGGAGTTCACTTAAGAGAGATTTTAAAATCAGCTAAAGTATCTCCAAGAGATACTTCAGAGTATCTCCAAGAGAGGCTGGTTCTGCAGCTGGGCTCCCTCCTGGAGAAGGAAGCGATGCTTGGGGTGTCGATGAATTAAAGCTGTCAAATTCAAGTTTTTTGTTCTTTCATCTTGAGGTGGAGCCCACTTTGTAACACTGACTAGTATCAATCTAGATACTAGCAATAGTAGATTTATAATACGATAAACATTTGTGATGTGCTGTGGAAGGAACAGCATGCTGAGATACAGCAGAGGAATAAAAAGTAAAAGTTACACAAACTGTAACAGAATTGCCTGAAAATAAGACCAAGAACCTCCACGCTCAGACAGAAAGAAGATACTAAAGGACAGATGATGTGAAATCTGGTGCTTACAATTACTGCTATCTCACAGTCTGCCACACTTAAGAGTTGCTTTTAAGTTTTCCTCCTCTCCTCCTATGTGCAACTCACTGTAGTATTTGTAGCCTGAGACACAATCCCAAAGAGGACGGGAAAGGCAGCAGAGCAGTAGATAAAGCATCTACAGCTATTTTTGTGTAGCGTGTCATGGAGGATGTCCTTGTGAGGAGAGCAGGACTCAGCATGAGGTGAGGGGATGACTCTGTCCCACAGGTATCACGATAACACCTGAGTTATGGGGCTTCCCAAACACCAGGGCCCCAAAACTGAGGACTTTGCAGGGGGATAAGGGCCATTAAGCCATGCTCCTTAGTAGGTCCATTAGCCTGTGCCCAAGAAAAAGCTTCCAATAGTGTTTTTGTTTTGTTTTTTAGTTTCATGAGTAACATTATTAAAATGCCAATATGCATCACTGTATTCTGTAGCAATATTTTCTACCTGACTTCCTTGCACATAGGAAGGAAAAACTGTCAGTGCTTCAGAGGTACTGCCTGGGAGTGAAATCCAGTGAATGGGATGCCAAAGGAGCTGAGTTTCCCCCCTGGATTCGCGAGCTGTCAGTTAACCTTTGGAAACAACAAATATTTACCCTAAAAGCCCTACAGTTTAAAAGCAAAAATAAACTCATCAATTATGAAACCTGATTTATTGTCTGCAATTGTACTGTAGCTGAGGCTTAAAAATTCATAGGGGATGTAAAGAAAAGGACTAATAGGTATTAGGGGGAGGGGGAGAGGTATTAGGACTATTAGGACTAATAGGTATTAGGGCGAGGGGAAAGAGTCAGAGGAACAGACTGCTGTTTCAAATAGCAAATGTTTCATTTTATCTGGTACACACCTACTCCTAAGCAAATATTAAACACTCTCTGTCTAAAATAATCTTTTAAGTATCCTTAAAGATTATGGGTTAACAACTCTTTTATTTACTTTGACCTTGGTATTTTTAAATTTTCTTTGCTACTCTGCAGTTGAGCAATAATGGTGACTTGAGCCAGAAGTCAGTAGGCAATTCTGTGGCTTTCCCTGACAAAATAACAGGGCATCACACATGTTCCTTATTTTTGCAAACCATGACACAGTCCTTGGAAATGCTCCAGGTGTAGACTCGCAGTCTTATATAATTTAATCTAATAGTCATTAAGCATTTGCTGTTTTTTTGGAACTGTGTCAAAAAGCACTAACCTGCTATGAGGACCAGAGTCCAGAAAATGCTGAGGTGGGATTTGTGCAGGTAAAAACCTCTCTTGCCAGCAGCTCTGCAAGCTGCCTTGCTGGTTCCTCAACAAGCAGCAGAAGGGCAGCTCGTAAGGCAAGAAAGGACTTGTGGAAAATGTGTGGAAAATGTGTGGAAAAAGGAAGCAAAATTATGTTAGACATCAAACACATGGCATTGTGAAAAAAAATCTGGGTCAATGTTTTAAAAATGAATTCAGAAAACTGAGGTGACTGCATCAGTATTTATGTCCACCATTATGTCAATAAAAGTTTCTGTTAATCATTTAATCTCCACAGCTTCTTCCTGCCAATAACAGCTGGTATAAACCTTTTAATCAAGTCCCTTGAGGTCTGGCTATCCTATAGCTAATGTTGTGATGTAATGCCTGATTTAACTAGCATTGGTTTAATCCTGGTGAGGCCACACCTGAAGCACCCTGTCCAGTTCTGGACTCCCCAAAATAGAAAAGACATGAAGCTACCGGAGCGAGTCCAGCGTAGGACTACGAAGATGATAAAGAGACTCAAACATCTCTCCTATAAAGAAAGGCTGAGAGAGCTGTTTAGTTGGGAAGAGTGAAGATTGAGAAGGGAGCTTATCAATGACTATAAATGTCTCATGGGGAAGCCAGGCCCTTCTCAGTGGTGCCCAGCAAYAGGACAAGAGGTAATGGGCACAAACTGAAACACAGAAAGCTCCATCTGAACATGAGAAGAACTTCTTGACTGTGAGAGTGATAGAGCCCTGGCACAGGCTGCCCGGAGAGGTTGTGGGGTCTTCTTCTCTGGAGATCTTCCAAACCCTCCTGGATGCCACCCTGTGCCCCGTGCTCTGGGTGTCCCTGCTGGAGCAGGGCAGGTTGGACTAGAGGATCTCTAGAGGTCCCTTCCAACCTCAACCATCCTGTGATTGTTATTTGTACACACACACACACACACACACAGTGTTGGCAGCTTTCCCTTCAGGATGGCGAGTGTTTTATAGCAATGCATCTCAGTACCGCTGTTGCTATCTGGTTTTACAAGACAAACGATGCTGATCCTAGCTCAGAAGGGGCAGCTTGATTCCCCTTAGGACCCTCTAGACATCTGCACAAGATTTGGCACTGGGCAAACTGTATCAAAGTCCTTGTAAAACTTCAGTGGCTTGTGTGGGTAGGAGACAACGACCTCTCCTCCCACCTCCAAGGTGAAGGGTGTTATCTCTCAGTGTCCGGAAGACCACATTCAAATCAGTGGAAACACTTAATTTGCCTTCAACAATTTAAAAAGCACGTGCTCATCCCTGACATGTACTGTCATGTAAAATCAACAAGAATTAAAATGCTAGTGAAGGCAGCACAACCACAGCTAAAGCACATTTCAGAACTTTAAGAAAATCTAATAGAGTTTAGTTCATATTTTTTAATACGTTTTCTACCAGAATTCAACTAATCCAGTGTGAGATCAATTCTTCTGTTTTATCTGCAGGGCAGATCGGAATTAGAAAAAGTCCCACAAATATCTCCTTTGAATCCAAGTCCAAGAGTCAAATGTATATTTTCATTAGTGAGACTTCAAAACAAAATACTCTTGTGTAAGTTGAGGCCATAATTTGGCAAAGTATCTGATATTTCAGATAGGAGGACTTGTGTCTCCAGCATACATAGGTAGATAAAGGGACTTTGAAAAGTAATTAAGGTAACTCTAAAAAAAAAAGATGTACATACTACAGCAGCAAACAAATTATTTACTCAAGCGATGAAGACCTGTGGTCAATCCTGTTTCCATGTGGAGTGTCAGGTTTGTAAAATACACAGATGCTACTGCTCATCTTTGGCATGGGCGAAAGGTCAAGAAGAGGAAGGTTTCCCTGCCATGTTGGCTGTGCCTCAGGAGGAGAATTTGCAGAGCAAGAGCCGGATGAAAGGGGTAATTCCCTCTGTGGCCCTGAGACGAAAGTGAAACCGCACGTGTGATCCAAGCCCCAGCTCCCTGGCATGGAAACGAGCCGCCAGATTCTCCTTGATCAAACCCAGTTTTCTCTTTTGGAAGTTGATAATGTGCTCCATTTTCCATCCAATGACATAAACGGGGCACAAGTGGGATTTTTTTTTCCCTGCCACTGATGAAGACCCTGCTCCAGATTAGGTCAGGCAGAAAAAATCCAGTGAGTCAGTGGGTGGCCATATGCTGCATAGCAGCGAGTATGACGGGCCCCTATATTTAGCTCCCCTGTGCAAAGTGCTTGGAGTGGTTTGGGGATCTGGAGTCCCCTCCGGTGAGTCACCATGGCTCACACAGCTCCCTGGAGAGCTTTGCTCCTGGATCACTGCTTTTCCTTGGGAAATGTTGAATATCACACATGGCCAAATCAAGCCCTCTGGCCTGGCTTCCTTGCTGTCCTGCATTCTGGCATATCACTTAGCTTGTGTTCCTGTTTCTCCCTCCATTTCCACCTGCCGCTGCGAACCTGTGCTGGTGGGCGATGCTATTTATTGACTGCTCCCCGTTTGGCCAAGGCACCCTCCTTCTGGGGTCTCAGTCATCACCAAACAAGGACACACGCCGATAACACTGCTCTCCATAAGTAGCCAGAGAACATCCATGAATCATCTCTCTTCCCCCACCCCAAAGCTAGAGGGATCCTCGGGAAACACTGGTCAGCTGCAGACTTTCATCCTGCAAACCTCACGGTTGCTTTTTGCAAACAGCATCAGTAAGGGAATGTGGTCAATACATTGCTGAGATCGTCCCGTCCTTTGCTGGAGCAACATGATTGCTCCAAGCTGGAGCAGGAAGATCTCACCTTTCAGTCTGACACCTTTCTATTTAACCTTTCTATTTATTGAGCACCCAGTAGAGACGATGCTGACTTACGTTTGCAGGCGTCTGGGGCAGAGAAGGGCCTCCGGAGGTCCCGGTAGAAGCCCGCCTTGCAGCGCTGGCAGTGCTGCCCTTCCGTGTTGTGCTGGCAGTTGTCGCAGACGCCACCACTGCGGTTGCCCGACGCCAGCCACGCATCCATGTCAAAATGACAAGTGTCCGCATGCCCATTGCACTTGCACGCTGCAGTGAAGCCAAAGGGAACATAAAGACTTCTTGAGGCAGGGAAAGGTCTTGGTTTATATAAAAGAGAAGTGAAAACCCAAACTGCACTATGGAATGGCAGACTGGACTTAGGAACATGCTATTTATTCAGATATTTGAGGTATCTCAACATTTTCATCCATGTTTCCCACTCCCTAGGAATGACTTTAAGAAAAGGTAGCTTCTCTTTTATTGGTTTATTTTCACTTTTGAAAAATAATATTTTTTCTACACTGTACTTCATACTCCAGTAGCTCATTTTTGATGTGGCAAAACGAAAGCGTTGTCAGAGATTACACAAGGGATCACCTGAATTATCGGCCCCTGTGTGCCTGGGGGAAGAAGGGGCTGTGCTGGAGGCCCTGGAGACACTGAGTCTCAAAAGTCGCAGGGCCCCGCACTGCCCCGCACCCCACAGCAGCAGGGCCCCGCACCCGCAGCGGGAGCCCCTCGCCCCAGGTGCAGGGAGAAGGCACCTGGGGGCCAGTGTCCCCCTTCCCCTGCGCGGGTGCTGGAGGGAGCTACACGCCTGCACTCCTCGAGGTTAGTGAGACCCGCTGCACCCGCTGTGTGACACAGGCTGCCAGCAGATGCGCAGACTCGCTGTCCCTCCCTCGGAGACTATCCAGGCTGAAGCCCATGCAGACAGCCCCATGCAAGCTGAGGTGCTGCTAGCCGAGAGCCAGGGCCGAGCAGCGCCCATCGTGGCCGAGCCCTCGCCAGGATGGCAGTACACAGGCCGCTGTGGCAGCTGCCGCCCTGCAGAGCTCATCCTCCCAGCCCAGTGGAGCCCAGGGCCCTTTGGGCCTGGGAGGACTCGTTCAGCTCAGACCCAGCGCCCTGGGGACAAGGACAAGGGGGCACCAAAAGCTCTTGGCTGTGGCTGGCTTGACCCCAGAATGAAAAAGGCCCAGAAGAGAAGGTGCACACTCCTTACCCCCAGCTGCACCCCCCTCCCCTGTCCTGCCGCCTCCAGATCACAGCAGTGAGCTGCAGCCCGCCAGGCAGGAGGCCACATCCCCCCCAGATGTGCCTGGACACCTCAGAAAGGGCACGCAGGCAGGAAGATGCGCGCAGGAGAGCGCCCTGCGAGCGGCCTCGCCAACAGGAATGGCCCCCATGTGCGGACACGCGGTGCGCGCCGGGCAGCCGTGTGGCTCGGGGTCCCCGCTCGCCAAGGCACTTCCCCCGGCTGCCTGCGCCTGGGTATTGGCTGTCTCTTGGAAACAGCAGGGAAAAGTGTGCAAGCAGGAAGAGTTTCAGCCCTGCAGCTGCTCTGGAGACACTTATTTTTTCCCCAGCTGGCTACTTACACTGACACTCTTTGGGGGCTCCGGTTTTGCCGTCTGCAGCCTGCCAAGGCTGGTCATTGTAGAGCGGAGCACAGTGCTGGCAGTGGGCTCCTGCTGTGTTGTGCTTGCACATGCATTTCCCGTGGACCTAGCAAGGGGAAACAGAGCAAGGATCACTCACCGCAAAGCCCGAGGAGTCTCCGGGGCGCGAGCCATGCCCAGGTAGGGCAGGTGCAGGACCCATCAGCACCCAGGGGGACCTTCCCAACCCGGGCAGCCACCGTGTTGTTATAACCAGCGCTCCAGTTTCAACGGGTGCAACCAGCACAGGCTTCTGTGGCCACCCTCCCACAGCGTCTTCTTTGCAATACAGTTTTGCTGCTCCGAGCCCCACTGCAGCCCAAACTTCTCTTTCTCAACAGATTTTGGCTGCTGTCTCATCAGCATYAGAAGTAACTTTAACACTGACCTGGGAAGTCTTTGCAAGACTTTTTGGCAGCAATGCAAGCACCAAAACCTTTCAAAGACTTTTCAGGCAATGCTCTCCTGCCGTAATAAAACACTGGGACCATGAAGCAGGCGAGGGAGGGTAAGACAGCGTGGCGAAGCGGCCGGGTGCACAGAGGCACCATCTGCCAGGCCGCCAAGAGCATCTCAGCTAAAAGGCAAACATGAAGCCAGCGCTGCTTGGCTGGTCTTGGATATTGGCTGGTCTGCTAGGGTGGTTGTAGTAAAGCCACCTATCTTCCTCACAATGTACTCACCTATGGAAAGAACAAGAAGAAAACATAAGGCAAAAAAGCCAATTTTGCAGCTGACATATTTAGTTCTCAGGGAGGGCCTCTTGCTTTCAATTTTTCTGTCAGGCCACTTCCAAACATTCTTCTTCCAGACCCTCAAATCCCTCACTCTCCTAAATTCACACTCTGCAGTAAAACTTGCCTTTCTTTTGCATCTTCCCCTGGTGCACACACAGGCAAATGTTTTCGAGGTACTTTACCCACCCCAAAGAAGCATCCAGCTGCATGAAAACACAAATCTGTTCGACCTGCCGGGGTGCTGTGGCCGTCTCGTGACTGAACCCCCAGCACTTCTGTGCTGGTTGCCGCAGGGCTTTCTTGCCAAGCCTTTGCCTATGCCGCGGTAGCCGCTAAGAAGCCTGCGCCGTGTCCGTGCCCAGCGTGATCCCTGAGCCCGTTCCCGGGCGGAGGGAGCCGCAGCAGAACGCGCTGGGCAGACGGGCTGCTGTAGGCGCAGCCCTGGAGCACGTACCCAGGCCAGAGGCACGGGGGCACTCGCTGGTCGGCACGCGGGGCCGGGGCGGCTCGGCCAGGCAGCTCCGCGCTCTGTTCCCAGCACGGTGACACCGAGCGGCACCACGAACCCTGCGGGGATCCCCAGGCCCCGCTGGGGCGCGAGGCCACCTCCCCGCCAGGGCAGAGCGCCCGCTGAGCACCCCGAGCAACGCGCAGGCCTGGCCTCGGGCTCCGCTGTTTGTTCTCTTTCGACAGCATTATAATGATTGCCTCCTCTCTGCCTTAARTCCCTCCACCCCAGCTCTATCCTATTGGAGAAAAACCTTGCTTTTCCTCTAATTCCAGTAAGACAGAAAAGATCCTCATGCAGTGGCAGCAACAAAGAAACCAAGTATTTGCAAGCCTTTTCTTGTAGCCCGTAAGCAGGCAGGTATTTCTGTTCATTAGAAAGAAATACTGCTACAAGTCAAACTAGGAGCTACACAGGAGAAGCAATAGGAAGAAAAGGGAGGCAGCAGCATGTGAAAAGTCACTACTAACACGCTGCCCACACCTGGGAGAAATCCATGCTGGAAAGAGCTGTACGAGGCTGCAAGAGAGCAGAGCCCTGCGAGTGCCACGTCACGTCGGAGAGCAACGGGGAGGCCGGGGATGAGAAACACAGCTAAAAAGCAGGGGCTGCTGCTCTGAGAGGGCACCAGGCAGAGCCGGGAGCCTCATACCCGACCCCAGCGACTCCCCGGCAGCTCCGGGTCTTGTCCAAAGCAGAATTTGACCCGTGTGTATCGACTGTGGGCAGAGCACTTTTCTGCTCCCTTTCCATTCACCTCAACTCACATGAACCCTACGGTGCAGCCACTTAGGGTCCTTGCGGAGCGTCACACACACACGACTCCCCGTACGGCTCTTTAAGCATTCGCACGGCTCTCGACTCATTTAGGCAGAAAATCCTTTCCAAACCATTTTTCATTTTGTCAGGGGCTCTTTACATCGCAGTTCACTTGCACACTGTTTCCCTTCCGAGCCTGACAGCCCCGTCCTGATGTCAGTCATTAGAGGACACAATGCAAACAGTGTTACCAAAGCTGACTTGTGCAAGATAAACGAGCCACTGATTTCTACATACAAAGACAGTTGCTAGGGCATGCTTCCTTSCATGGCCTTTTGTTGCTGAATTATTACCTTCCAATGCCTCCTTTCAGATGGCAAATACGTGCGTTTTCTTGGTTGAATCTTATAAAATAGTTTCTCCCCTGTTTGTGTTCCAAAATGTTGCACACGGAGAAAGAAACGCTACATTGAAGAAGAAATGCATTCAAGCCACCCGTTATGTATTAATTCATATTGCAAGAACTCACCATTGTGTAGAGGGTCCAACACAAATGCACAGCAAAAGAAAGTCACTGGCCCCCAAACCTTGTGGTCTAAGCAGGCAGACTAAACAGCCATGAGGGACTTTTGTTTTTAATAGAGTTTCTTGGAACTGCTCAAATTGTAGTTTATTTCCCCTTCACTTCTTGGTAAATGGACATGATATCAGTGCAAAGGAAAATCATGTCACTCAAACCGGGTCGCTAATGACCCAACTTTTAAACTATCTGGCACCCAGGCCCCTGGGTGCGAGGTGTGGAAGCGCTGCTTGCGGGTGCGCTTGGTGTGCARTGAGGCTCTCCTCCCCTGAGCACCAGGCAACCCAGTTCATGCAGGAGAAAATCCTCATCTCCTATCTTRCTCTTGCAAAAGAATAGGAAGTTTTGTTCTCTCTGGCTGTGGGGAGGGGGTATCTCTTTTTTCATTCCCAGTACAATATGCATCTTGTTGGTCATTCTGGGGAAGACCTTCAGCCTCTTTTGATGTCAGTAGCATGATCGCAATTTCTAACAGCCACCGAGCTGGCCATACGGGAGCGGGGAGGAACATTCACGCTGCCTAATGATAGAGAAGTGCTCTTTCTTCCTTATGTTTCGGTTTCCTATTTCCTTTCTTCAGAGTAAAGGTAAAAGGAATGTATCGTATTATTAACACTGTCCCTCAGGAAAAAGAGAACCAGAGAAAGAACAAAACGAGGCTGTTAATTTGTTCCTGCTCCGTGTGCAGGACAGGGAGAAGACGGGTGCCTAGGAGGGCAGCACGTGATAGTTGTTCTATCTGGAAAGGCCAGACACACTGGCGTGTGTTGGATGGACCATTTGGGAGGAGGGTGAAGGGGAGGAAGAGCAGCTATATCGCCCTGACAGCTCTCTCCTGCACACACGTAACCAGGCACAGTCCGTGCTACACCACCCACACGTAGCACCCCGGCCATGGCTGGAAGGCAGCCAACGTCCTCCTCGTCCTCTCTCCTCTTCCTCTGCAGCTCATGAAGGGGGAGACCCCCATGAAGAGCAGGAACCCAACTAATAGCTTCATGATTCACCTAAACATTGACACTGCATTTCCAGCTCCCAAGCAAACCCAAAGCTTTCATATGTAAATTCCTTTCTCACTTATTTAGAACTAGTCGATCCATAAATATCTCCACCTAAGCCCTTCTTCCGGCCTGCCCCATTCCCAAGGCTGACACTGTCTACTTCATTAAGCACTTTAAGGCTTCCTCTGGTGTCACCGTGTCTTCAGAGAAACACACACAGGCAGAGTGAAAGCTGCCGCTCCCGGRAGGCCGGGACAGGAAGGATCCCTGAGGAGCAGCTTTGCTGCACACTGCCCAAGCAATGAAACTGCATGGAGGGGAGGGAGGAGCACAGGGAGGTCCACAGAGAGGTGGAGGAAGGAGCCTCTTAGTGTGTTCCCATCTATTGCTTTTTGCTCTTGAGACTTACTGAACATTTTTCTCCCCAAAAGCTAGACTCCCAGTGCATGAGGGGCACACCGTCAAGAAGCATTTGTATCATGAAAGGGTCCCTTGCAGCAGCAGCAGCAGCTGATGTTCTCTCYGATGAGCTGAACTGGGCCTGCTGTCCCCATGGTTCATTTCTTCTCTGCCAAATCCCCATCCRAGTGGTAGCCACCAGCATCCCCCTATCTGCCCCTCACTTTGCTGGAACATTTCTCCCTGGCTGCTGAATGGAAGAAAATACTTCAGCTTGCTCTGTGGGGGCTGTCAGACCCCACAGCTACTCCCTGACCCCCCTGCATGCTCCCCAGGCTGGCCAAACAAGAACAGCACATCTGGCTCTTTTACTGGCCAAGCAGGAGCTGAAAATGAGCCTGTTGTTAGGATTTTGCCTCTACAATGAGTCCAAGTAGGGATTTAAGAGAACTTGCACACATTTTTTTTTTTTTTTTTGGAAAGAGCTTTTTTGGGGAAGATTCAGCAACTTTTTTGAAATACGATGCCAACTCCCTAATTTTAGCAGTATCCTTCAGGATTGATCTGGTATAAAAAAGCACAAAAACTATGTCAAATTTTATAATAATATTGGAAAATGTAAATACATTTCCCATCTGTTGCTCTCCTTGAGTTAACAATGAGGTTTCTGCTGTAACCCCATATAGGTAAGAATGAAATCCCCATAGCAAACTCAAGTGATTGACCATAATTCTTTAGAATTATCTTTTAAATAACTGACTTTTTCAGTGCTCCCTCTCTTCCCAGAAATCTGACTTCTTTTAGCTAAGAAGTCTCCATTCCTACCGTCTTCTGACCCTTTTCTGCTTATTTACACACAACTATGTTTTCATACCATCTTGGAAATAAAATGATGTGATAACGTAAAAGGAAACATCACTTTCCCAACCTTACAGCAGGATCCTGCAGCGAGCTGTGAGGCTGCATGACTTTTATGGTGGCTGATCTCTTATGGGTCACATAGAGAAAGCTCTGAGACATAGCCAGATGAGTTAACTCTGCTGTGAAAGCTTCACCTTTGGGACTCTTGACACATAAATATTTATAACGGGAGTTTAATTCTTCAGTCCCCTAGGAGCTGGAGCTGGGGCTTGCTGCTGTTTCTTGCTTTATCAGCGTGATCTTGGCCTTTGATTCTTTCCYTCATCATTCCCTGTTACCTATGCGCTATTATTTCTACAGCCAGAAGTATTCCTGAAGTATATTTGGCTGCAAGCTCTGCTGTAACTCTCAGCAGTGCTCCRGGACATGCTCCCATGCTATTGTATCACACTGAAATAATCCCAAGTAAACAGCTCCTTTCAAAGCCTTTCGCTCAGGGAACATCTATGAAAACCGGAGTAGTGCTACTTGCAACAGGCCTATCARTCATTGCACTGCATGCTTTCGAATTTATATATTTTCAAGATGTTGCAGGACTAGCTCTATTAGAAGAGAAACATGCTGTTYGCTTCATGTTTGAGACCATAATTTAACTCACACGAGAACTCCCTGAGGAGTTGGATGGATGCCAGGCTTCTTACCTCTAGTAATTGGCTTATGTTTTTTGATCTTCCTCTTTTTAACCTTATTCAATGCAACATGTTTAGCTGCCCTGACCTTCCCCACCTCTCCTATGCCAAGAAAGCTAATACTTTCAGGGTCAGCCAAGATGGGCAGGGAGGACAACGTGAAGAGGACCCAGCCCAGAGACTACAGCAATTTTCTGCTGTTTTTCTGCCAGCATGAGATCAAGGTCCAAGGACTTGCAAGCAAGGTTTGGGCTCATCTCAGCGGACAATGCTTTGGCTGCTGTCATATCCATCTTTTCTCCAACATGTTCTCCAACATATAGGACACATCTTTAAGATGTGAGAGACCTGGATTTTGGGTCTTTGCCAGTCCTGAAGGATTTGAACTCATGGCTCTTGTAAAGAGAGCTTCCTTGCAACCTCAGCCCAAGGTTTTTATTCAGAGATGTGTGCAGTCAATCACAACAGAAAGCCCTGGGAATGAGAGTCAAAACTCAAGTCTCCAGACTCCAGGCTGACTCAGTACCTGACTCAGTACCTGAGGATCCTCCAGAAACAGCCACAATCACTAAATCCCTACAGCCTTCTGGGAAACATTTTCCTGTCTGTCATCAAAACACCCAGTACACATCATCWTCTAAATATTTTGGCTTTGCTAGTTAGAGCTTGAGGGAAGAAGAGAATTTGTGATTTTAATTTTAAGGAACCAGCTGAAATAAAGAAACCTGTGCAATAGCTACTTCTGCAGCCTTGAAGGATGGGGGTCCTGGTGGATCCTACTGCATTTCAAGCCCAGACACAAGGGAAGCACAGCTCCTCAACCACACTCGGGGACTGCCTCCTTTCGACAGACTTTTGGKTTTGCTTGCTTCCCTTTGGCATCCAACACCGTGTGCTCGGATGAGGAAACCGTAGGGCCCCTGCTGCTTTCCAACCTCGTGCCCTCGCAGCGCGGACGCCGTGGAGTGTCTACCTACCACGTGGAAGACGCCGGCTGCCTTGACGGGTCTGAAGCCGGCGACGGGCACGCAGTGGTCGGCGTGGCCGTTGCAGAAGCAGCTGCCCTTCACGATGAAGTCGTAGACGGCGAAGTGCAGCGGCTGCGGCGGCGGGCGGCCCTCGGCGCGGCAGGGGCAGCGCTGCCGCTGCAGCAGCCGCACGCGCAGGTTGGTGATCTTGAGCTGCTCCTGCGCCGCGGCGCTGTACGGGTCCTCRCCCGCCAAGGGCGGCGACAGGGCTCGGTAGATCACCTGCGCGGAGACACCCACAGAAGCAGACACACGCAGGCACACACAAAGCGTAAGGGCGGGCTGTGGCAGCCGCTCGGCCCCCGAGGAGGTCGCCATTAACTGAGAGCAGAGGCAGCGGCGCCATGGCCGCCGCCTCCCGCCGCGGGGGCAGGGGCCGCACCGGGCACGGGCCTTCCTCYGGGCAGCAAAACATGGGATAAACGTTCCCTCCCCTCACCCCCTTCCCAAAGCAYGGGCATTTCTTTCACAAATAAAGCCCCGGTTTCCAAATATTTGCCGCATATCGGTCCCCGGCTGCTCCTCATGGAAAAGTGATTAGGGGAGGTGATAAGTGACAGCTAGCGATAGCCGAGAGGACCGAGATAAGAGAGAAAGAAAAGTGGGGGGCTTCATGAGTTTGAGCAAATATTTATCAGCCGGCCTTTAGTWTAACTTCAGTTGGATGGAATAGGTAAATATTGGCTCAAATTGAAAATTGAGAGCACTCRACAAAAATCACTGATTTTCTTCAAGAGGTTTATTTAAAACTTGTTGGCCTAGGTGCCTATGGTGCGAAACCATGCACGGCCAACCATTCATTTAGCTACCGCTCACATAAAACAACATTTCTGTGACGCAGCCGTCTCTCTACGGCACATTTAGTTTATAGGGCACGCTTTAAAAATAGCTAGGCGGTTCTCACTGAGCAGTTTCTGAAGGCTGGATGAATTCATAATGTTATAAATGGGTGCCAAGGGCGTCATGTCGTGCAGAGGAGCCAGAGGCCTCCAGAGTACCCAGAGGGMCAGGAAGAAAACTTGATTTCAGGAATCTCGTAACCGCTGTTGCCAGTTGCTCAGGTACGGAGCCGCTCTGCCCTTACTGAAGGATGTGGTTGATCCCTTTTGACTAATGCAATTGGTTTTGATGGATTCACCTACACTAGTGATGAGAGCTGTTGGTGCTGCCACGTTGCCAGCCGCCTCTCCTGGCTGCTTCCCAGAGCTGCTGAGCCCCGGCCTGGGCAAGCCTTGTCAGGGCCTCCAAGGAGGTTAGAGCTTCTCCTGTGGCTGGGCTGAGTGGTGGCAGGGGCTTTTGTGCACCCTGCGCGCCCACGGAGCGTGGCGGCAACCCATGGGACACCTTCATGGGAAGGATGGATCTTAGGGAAGATCCATCTTCCCTAAAGGTTGCCCAAGGGGGAGGAGGAAGGTGGTTGGAGGACAAGGTTGACGCTGTGGCCCTTGGGTAGGCATGCTGAGTCTGGTGAGTGGTATGAATAAGCAACAGTGCATTTGGAGAGGTCTTTTTTTCCTCATACACAGCTTTTTGACTTCCCTAAAATTAAAAATACCAARCTGATATGAATGCAACCCCCAAAGGATGCACATGAGGCCCTCTGCATCTCCCCAGAGCTTKCTGTTTACCCAAGCTTAAATCACTGCAGTGTGGATCGCATTTACTCCTTAACTCCTTTGTGAACACAAGATGCTTTCAGATACGGAAGGAAAATTCCCTGGAAAACATCCAGATTTGAGACATTTCCTTTTAATGGAGATGATGGAAAATGCGGGGCTGAGAATTTTTAGTAAAAAAATAGCACTTTGGATTCCTTGTGATTACATAAATGGCCTGAGAAGCCCTTTGTTCTTCCTGGTTCAGATCAGAGTGGTGAAGGAAACACTCGCATGGAATCAGCTTATACCAGATTCAGTCAGAGATTTTCTCCTCATCATTTGTGGTTACTCTTATTTATCCAAACACACACACCCCAGGCACATCACTGACATTATGATTCAAGCAAAAGCAGCTGGGGAGAGCAAATCAGTAATTCTGGGTGCCTTTGCACTTGCAGAGTTATGCTACTGGTTTCAATGGAGACACTATTCCAACTCAATTCCTAAAATGCTATAAACACTTCTTTTTATGGCTACTTGAAAACGAYTGATGCTAAACACACTGCCTGCCTGTGATTCCCAGTGGGCTGCAAGGACCAGCTCCCCAGCAGCTCCCCATGGCAGATCCCAATCGCTGCGGTGACGCTCAGCGGTCCTGGACTCAACTGGGAGGCTCCACAGCCCCTTCAGAGCAACCTGAGGTGGTGCAGAGTCCGGTCCCAGCACTGCTAATATGGTCAACACCCCTTAGCTACTGCTAGATCTATTTTAATAAAATACAAAACAGATATTATAACATATAAAACAAATAGCAAATCTCTGCACTGTCCCAGTCAGTTGAACTGGAGCCCCCAGAGGCTGCATAACWAAATCATGAACATGTTTCCCAGCGGGATTTCCCAGCTGACCTCTATGATTTATCCCATCTTAGGAATAATCCTAGCACAGCAGTTGCTGTCACACTGTCTTTAKACATGAAGCAGCTGTTACAGAGCTGCACCCTACCCAGAACCCTCCCATACAGAGATGCTCAAAAGTCAGCGTTTGCACTTTTACCTCTGCTCTACGCAGTTATCCTGCTGGCGGGATGGGCCATGAGCCACAGCATCCTCTCTATGAAGGAATCATGGTTTTGCAGAGCAAAGCTGACTGTGTTTTTACACCTACAGCCCTTCTGCTGGCAGCCCCTGAGCACAGTAATCAGCCAGGCTTCTGAACCAAAATATTGTTTAATTTTAACYGCACAGAAGGAGCATTCAGGCAGGACTTGAGAAGAATCTAAGTCTATATACGCATTTATCTTGCTGCCCCGTGTGCCTGACCATGGCTTGTGCAGCCCTCCCCCCGGTTTCTGCAGCCATGTCCCGCCACGGGCACGTGCCTGGGGAGCCCCAGCGGCTCCCAGCAGCAGGGCTGCCCAAGGGAGCCCTGCCATCCCGCATGGGCGCTGCCTCCCCATCCCCTTCCCCACGCTGGCTCCACGGGARGCAGCGTAGGCACCTCGGAGCCAGCGCTTTTCAGCAGCCCTGCAGCAGCTGTTGGAACAACCGCTCAAAGCCAAGTGACTAACCTGGAGCCAGCGCTTCCTCTTCCCGACAGCTCTGCAAAGAGCTCTCAGTTTAGCTCCCTAAAGCAACACCCAAAACACATGTCCATGGCCCAGGCGGCCGGGACAGGAACCCTGGCAGCAGCTCCACAGCTGCGGCTGGAGTCCCGTCTCAGACACGTTGCAGTTTTTTGCCTATTGAGTCAACCGCTCTGGCAGCTGAGAAGGGGGACACATAGGTTCCCTCACACCTCTCCCCTAAGTCTGTGTCTGAAGACTTAAGAGAAAGTAAGTCAATTGATCTCCATAGTGGAAAAGTCCTGGGAAAGGTCCTGCCGCAGGGTCCTACCAAAGAGCAAGGGGAGACATGGAGTTCAACGGGTGGAAGAGAACGTCCTTCCTGATCATCCTTACAAGCTGCATCCTTACAACCTGCAAGCGTCACTAGCTGGCACCTTAGAGCCTCTGCCTCTGTGTGGCAGACACTGGGTCAAAATTCAGCATTTTAACATTTSGAGGGTGATGTGGCTTCATTGGGCAGGACAAGTCAGGAGGACAGCATCTTTACACCAGCCACTGCCTAGTGCTGCCTAGTGCCTCTTGTTTTGTAGAGCTGGAAAGAACTGTAAATTCACAGCACTCCCAGGCTAGACATGCCAAAATGTTTCCTATCAAAAACACATCCTCATTCCCAGCCTTGCCAGCTCTGTTCCCTGTTCTAGTCTCCCTCCTCTATTGCACCTGCAGCATTTCTGTGGGAGCCAGGTAATCCKGCGTACTTTTCCACACCGATGTTTCCTTTTACCATGCAAGAGTGACATTCCTTCCACACTATGTGGAATTTTGCTCTGTCAGCTCTTGTCTCCTATAGATGTAACATTTGCATGGATCAGTGCCAATGCAGAGGTGATGTAAAACTTCCGCCAGGATTGTCTTCTTGGGAAACATCTACCTACGCAGCCGAATGCCCCGGACAGCTCTTGGAGCGGCGCCCCTGCCCGGCGGCGCAGAGCAGGAGAGGCCCGAGCGCTCCGTGCGCCGGCGCAGCCTGCACCCGCTGCGCAGCGAAACCCCCGGCTTCCCGGCCAGGCCGCTCCGGCTGCCTGTGTTTTGGGCACATCATAGCACAGACACCCTCTCATAAATTTTCACAGCATTTCCATTTCCTTGTGTGCTGTTACGAGCAGCTCTCGATCTGTTCATTACTTGACTTTTTCTTTTTTTTTTTTTCTGTCTCTTAGCGGTGCAAGAAGCCTTAGCTATTCACCCTTCCCCAGACACAAAAATGTAGCCCAGAGTATAAATAAAACAGCGTCCATGAATGTGGTGCACTCAAGTAACCGCCTGCACCATAATGACCTCGGTTTATAAATACATAGAAGTCCCTTTGCAAGAAGTACCCTGGTATGTTTACACTCAAAAAGCAATGAAAGGACAGCTTTATATATAGCCCCAGTGGGAAGGAAAATGCTAATGAACGATGCTGAGAACACAACAAAGTAGGCCCTGAGGCCAACGCAGCCTGAGGAAGTCAACCAGCCCAATGAAGGATTTGCTGCTGGCAGCGCTCTCTGCATCGGTGCATCCCGGACTGCGGAGCTCCCGCCAGCCGGAGTTGCGGGGACCAAACCTTTTGTTTTGCAAACCTTTGGTTTTGTTGTCTCTGCAACAAGGGACCACAGTGATGAGCAGAGTCATGGCCATGACGGCCATCCTTATGTGGGTTTGTAAAATGACAGCAAAAACCCATACAGGGAAGAGTGAATAAATGAGTGGGTAAGTGCACAAGGAGACTCACATAGAAACAAGCCTGTAAGTGAGCAAAATGCCAGAAATTAAAGCAATAGCTAACTGTGAAAGGCATGGCCATGCTTTGCTTGCTTGCAAATGAAAAGCCAAATGGTAGCACAGCATGAAAGGGTCCATGGTTTCTTTCAAAAGGAGCACCAGGCAAAAGATAAGCACAGACTCTGCCCTGTACTGTCTAACCACATCCATGAAAATGTATCTAAAATCCCTCTATAACTGTGATCTATTTATAACAGGGACTCAGTTATTTGGCTCCTGGGCATTTGCTA